TCACAGATTTCCTCCTGCATGGGTCCAGTGGCCCCTTCACCAGTCTCCAGTTCTTGTTCCATCTTCCCTGTGCGTAAAGCTCTCAATGCTTGTAGACAGAGTTTCGGAGCTCATGACCCTGGGCAGCAGTGCCGTGTTAGTGAAAGCCGCTGTGATTTTCTTTTTTAGAGGATTCAGGTTAATGTCCGTGTTCCAACCAAACTCTCCATCTCAAATCAGCACTCAGAAAAAAAGTCCACCAACATAAGAATTTATTAGAGGTCATATTGGCACATCAGGGAAAACCTGGATCTGAAATCCCGCATTTTCCCCTGCTAAATTAAACTCACATCCAACCCGCTTACTGATGACCCTCAAGTCATACTCTCCAATCTACCTCCATTCTGAACTCCCACCAAGTCTGGTCACTCCCCTCCAAACTCCAGCAACTCGGTCTTGAGCTCTGGTGAAAGAATGTTGTTGTGGCTATCCTCCCTTCTCACTTTACTTTCATTCCCACTGTTACCCATCCTCCCTTGTGGTAGCCCCAAATCTGACTCAAGGTAGATAGGATTGACATGCTATTCTTAGGGAGTGGAAGATAAACAAATCCACCCCCTTCCTTTGTAGTCCCACTGTCACCCAGGCCAGTTATTAAGGGGTTCCTTAATAGTTGGAAAATTCTCACCCAGTTCAGCCACCTTATATTTCAGTCTTTAGTCATTCTTCTCCGGTCAGGCTGTCACAGCCTCATCAGGCATGCAATGGCTGTCTTTTTCTTCCTACTGGATTGAGAGCATCACCTGGATTGAACAAGGAATGCAGTCTCTATGTGATCTCCTTGTCCTCTCTATCTTCATCACCCCTCCAGGGTGACTTAGGTCCCAGAAAGCCCTCTCGCAGAAGGAATTCGGCGAACTTCCATAGAGCACTATATCGCCGCAATGTCAGTTCTGCCTCCGGCTTGTCAGATTTTGTTGATCATCTTCTAGTAGTCCCACCTAACATGTTTAATTATAAACAATTCTGCTCTTTGATTAGTTCCCTGCTAAAAATAAGTAGAGATTTAAAAGTAATCAGGAAGCTACACCTGAGGAGATAAATAATCTGTAGAAAAAAACAAGCCATATCTATATCAACCCAATCTTTCCTCCTGGGGGAAAGACAAATGGAGTCTTCCTAGAAATGTGATCCCTCATTTTTGCAATGCATTGCCCACTCATGATTTAAAGCAATGGTTGATGCCTGGAACTGGAGGAAACCATATAATTATAGCTAACCATTGCTTAGGGTTGAAGCTGTATCTAAAGCAAACAATGGCAATTGATGGATTTAAATATGGAAAATATGTAGACGAATTTAATTGATTCTGTTCTCCATTGTAGACATTTTTAGTAAATATGTGTTGTGGCATACAATATTTAAATGAAACCACTAGAGAATGACATTTTCTGGGAGCAGGGCTGAAATTGGTAAAATTCAGCTTCTTTCCCTTTCCACTCAAGTGAAACAAGAAACTATCTTGTCAATCTTCTGTGGATCTTTATTCAAAATAACTGAAGCAAGAGGTGGATTTTCTAGAGTTTAAGAGTTTTTTCACTGCTCTTCCTCCACTTCACTTGTCTGCCAACTTGTCTGTTTATTCTTTAAACAGTTGTGTATCAGTCTTACAAAAGAATGTTAGACTGATGGGCAGATTTACTGTACTCATCACTTAGGCTTCTGGAAAACTAGTAGACCTCTGTTCAGAAGTAGCCCAAGTGATGAGTAAACCTCCACCAGCAGTCTCTCAAGCAATTTCCAACTACAGCTTTCATCTCAGGGACCCAAGTTTTCCTTGAACCAGCTCTGTTGTGCTTCATGGAAAGCAATCAGTGGTGGCTTTTCCTGATGGCTTCCCTCAAGAGAGAAACAAAATTGGGCAGTTTTGCCATGAGTGTCAGGAAAAAGCTGCAGAGGGGACAAAAATGCTATTTTCTTTCACCTCTGTACCACCACCTGTCTTGCAGTGCAGAGTAGGATTAAGGGGGAAAGAATGGGGAAAACTTGTTTTTAGTACTACCGTGTTTCTCACAAAATAAGGCCGGGCCTTATTTTTTTTTGACCCCTGAAAAAATGGCTAGGCTGTCTTTTGGGGGGTGACTTAATTTCTTTCTCCCCCCGCACACCCTCGCCTAGGGTGCCCCGCCGGCAGCTATGCCTGGCCACCAGCCACTCCTAACGGCCAATCATGGTGGAGTGCGGAGGACTCCATTACCCCCACAAGCGCTGAAGACCCGGGTCAGCGGGCAGGCGGAGATGTCTGCCGGCATTTCAGCCACTTCTCAGGCCTCCGTAGCTTCCACGGTTCCCACCGGTGCTGGCGCCTCTCTCGCCAGCACCGTCTCCAACAACAGCATCTGAATCGCTCCCACTTTTCCCCTGTTCCCATAACAGGAAAAAAAAAACATTTTGAGGTACCTGGGAGCGCCGCGCACTGCATTTTGGTTTAATCCCGAGCGGCTGGGTAGGCGTGAGAAGAGCCGAGCAAGCGTCTCTGCTGCTGCTACCCTTGGTGCTCCAGCCTCGGGCTCTGCAAGTTTGCAGAAGTCCCGGTGCGCAGCCCGTTCCTGCATTCCAAGCGCCCAGGCTGAGCTGCAGCTGTCCCTCTCTCACCAGCGCCATCTCCAATAACAGCGGTAGCAGCGGCAGGAACTGTGGAAGTTACGGAGGCGGCTCCTCCACCCGAGAAGCGGCTGAAACGCTTCCACGGTTCCCGCCACTGCTGCCGCTGTTGTTGGAGACAGCGCTGGTGAGAGAGGGACAGCTGCAGCTCGGCCTGGGCGCTTGGAATGCAGGAACGGGCTGTGCACCGGGACTTTTGCAAACTTGCAGAGCCCGAGGCTGGAGCACCAAGGGTAGCAGCAGCAGAGATGCTCTTCTGACCAGGGTCTTCAGTGCTTGGTGGGGGTAAGCGAGCCCTCTGCGCTCCACCATGATTCGCTGTTAGGAGCGGCTGATGGTGAGGCGTAGCTGCCCACAGGGCACTCCTAATGGCAAGTTCCCCCCTGCCCTCCCCCCCCAATTTCGCATGTTTTAAACTAAGCCTAAATTTGGGGGGAGGGGCTTAATTTCATTTTATGTCTAGGAAACATGCTGGGTCTTCCTATTGGGGGTGCATATTGTTGGAGAAACGCGGTAGTTCTTTCATTACAGAAGATGTTTCCTACAATCTATCTCCCCCAATATTGTGCAGTAAAAATACCTTATTTCACTGCTAAGACAGAATAAGGTTTAGTAATTCAAACAGACTCTTTTTAAAGTTAGTATTCTTAAAACTTGGTCCACTATTAGGTAACAGTAGTTCAGTGCTAGTGTGTGGAACAGGTCCAGAATTCCTTAGTCAGCCATGGGAATTTTGGGAGTTGAAGTCCACAAGTCTTATAGTTGCCAAGGGTGGACACCCCTATTCTAGATCCTACTTGTTTGTTTTTTTATTTACTTACTGCCATATTTTGTTTCTTAATCTCATTGTTCCTACCAGTGATTTATAAATGGTGCCCAAAACATAGCATTTAATATAGATGGGTTACCAAGAAAGGTCACCATCAAAGATCCAACAAAATACTAAAGTTAATTTATGGGGATTAATAATTAGTAAAATAAGAACATAATAAGAATTTCTCAACAGCGAGATTGAGGATGAGGGAATATAAATTTAATATATAAAAATAAATAAATAAATAACCATCAACGCTGAATATCTCTGATTTGCAGAAGAGATGCTATAAAAGAAGCAACGTCTGTCTTGTGGATTATGTGGAAATAAATGTCTGAGGGATTTTGATATAATAATCTCCAAATAACATTCCTGAAGTAAACTTTTTGCTAGATCCTTGTCTTATTCATTAAAATGAATAATGTTTTATTATAAAACATTTTAATGATAAATATTTTGGTCTGAATCCAGCAGGACAAATTGAGTTATGGATGTCCATGTATCTCCCATTCAGTTCAAAGTTTCAGAAAATTATAGTAAACTTCACTCAGTCACATCGAAACACAAGAAGGTACTGAATGTAATTGCTGCTTTTTGTATGTTTCTTACATACTGTAGTCAAGGATGGTGTTCAGTTATACAGTGTAGAAGAGGAAAAAAAACTAAAAAAGTACTATATTGAAATATCAACTATGTTTTATTGTAGCATACAAACATTGAATCTTTGTGATTCAATGTTTGTATGCTACAATAAAACATAGTTGATATTTCAATATAGTATTTTTTTAGTTTTTAGTTGTGTCTTTTTCATATAATTACTATTTTTGTTATAATAATTTGTTTACCTGCTTCCTTTCTACACAAGGGAGTTAAACAACCCTTCAGTCTAGAACAGGGGTGTCCAACCTTGGCAACTTTAAGACTTGTGGACTTCAACTCCCAGAATTCCTCAGCAAAGCTGGCTGAGGAATTCTGGGAGTTGAAGTCCACAAGTCTTAAAGTTGCCAAGGTTGGACACCCCTGGTCTAGAATATAGTTAAAATTTGCCTCAAAACAAGCTACAGTGCAAGTAACAATAGGGAAAATTGACACAATGGTCTTTTTTTCTTTTAAAATGATTAGCACAATAATATAGAAGGTCGAATATTTAATTCTCACTCTTTATAGTTTTCTTCCTCTCCCACTGCTCCTTTATTTTTCTGTTCTTGAAATTCGACGTGTGCAACCCTTCTGGGTAACGTTTTTTCTGACTCCCATATCCAACGAGTCCAACGACAGCCAACTGTACTTTCCGTGCTTGCGCCGCGACCTACATTTCGCCGCGCCCTAATTCCTTAGGAACGGCTCCCCAGATCGATGCAGGGCGCAGGCAGGTGCTCCGCTGGGGACTCGTTGTGGGGCGCATGTGCAAAAGGAGCTGCTTCCCCCACAACACGGAGGTGACGGGTGGGGTTTGCTGCGTCGCTTTTGCATCCGCAATAATGTGTCACCGCGAGTAGAGAAGAGATGGGCGGGCGGGATGGATGGATGGAGCAGGGCCACTGACTCTCCAGGGGATCTAACGGTTGTGTCAGCTGGTTTAGTCCCACCAGTTCCCACTGACTCCCCCTGTCCGTGGCTTTTTTGCAACCGGCTAGCCAGGTTGCGATGGCTTCTTAGACAGCAAAGCCCCACTCTGACCCAACATCGCCGGTCTGATTGTCGGGTCTAAGAGTGACATCACCCTCGTCCAATCAGTACCGGCGCTACTTTCAGTTCCCAGCCTCGGCCTGTTGCCCCCCCGATCGGCTCGGTCCGCCCACAGCCCCTCCGGCAAGGGCGGGCAACTGTCAAGACAGCGGAGTGGACAAGGCACTCCCAGGTACTTACGGCTGAGGCGGGAAGTCTTCCGCTGACAGCCCAGCTGTGCGCATCCATCCCTCTGCCAGTAGCTGCTACCGCACAGGTAGGATATATGCTTTTTCTTGTTCTTCGTTGCATAAATGGAGGTCTGGGGAGCCGCTTTAATTAGCAGGTGGAAACCCTGCCCAAACCGGGGGGGGGAAGTGGCAGATGAACCGGGATGAATAATGGTGCCTCAAAATTTTTAGGGAATATGCGTCCTTCGAAGGAAGGGTGTGTCTGAAAAGTAACCTACTATCTGTAGAGGGAAAGGCCGAATCTGGCCGACAGCAGGTCATATTCTGGGGGAGGATGGAGAGAAGGACGGCAGGTCAACTATGCTATTCAAAGTCGTGGAGGAGGGTGCCAGTAGATTTTTTTTGCAGAGGGTGCTGCAGCAGCAGCAAGAATCTGTGCCTGGAATAATAATCAGCTCCAGCCAGCTTGGGCTATGAAAATTGGTCAGAGATAGATAATCTAGTGTCATTTCATCAAAAGGGGCTTCCTAGCCTCTTTACCCCCATTTCCCTCTACAAAGCTTGTCTCTTTTCATATTAAAATATTTGATTTCGAGAGCACATCATCACAGCCACCAGGTCATGCATATTTCCTTATTATTTTGCTCTATAAAACAAACTTAGGCATGCAAAAAATGTTCTTGACATTTCCTGTCCTCTTTTCTCAATTGCTCACTTTTGGTCGAAAACAGCTAAGTGTCACTTACTGGAACAGCTAGAAAAAGAAAGGCAGGATTCCTCTTCTGCTTATTTGTAGAAGCATAAATATTATTTGTTTGTTTGTGATCTTTCTCTCCTGCAACAACAAAGCTGTGAAGTTGGATGGGCTGAGAAGGACTGAAGCTTCTCAGTGAGTTTCCATGATTTGAACCTGAATCTCTGTATTGCCAATCTTAAGCTTAAGAGAGGTGACATTTTACAGGGAAAACATGGTTTAAAGCAGGGATGGGATCTGACTGGTATAACTACCGGTTCTGTCTATTAGTGTTGCGCGCGCATGTGCGAGTTGTGCGAGTGCAATTTACAACCTGCTGAGCTGCCTGGACAGCTGAGTAGTGCTGCGTGCAAGTGCGCAGCAGTTGGAAAAGCCCCCTTTTTTCCTGCTTTTTCAACTGCAGCGGTGTCGCGCAAAGCAGCTGCAGTTGAAAAAGCAGGAAATAAAGGTCAGGTAAGAGCCCAGGCGGGAGGGTGGGCCACAACAGCAGCAGACATAGAACCGGTTCTATGCCTGCTGCTCTTCAGAACTACCGGTTCTACAGAGGTGGACAGAACGGGTAGAAACCCACCCCTGGTTTAAAGAGGTTGTTTGAACTCATAGGAGTTTTTATTGTGAAGACGCAACGTGACTTTTTCTTTGAGGTATTTATGACATTCCACATATGTTAAAATATGTTCCAGCAAGACAAGATGAAGGGTGAGAAGACCTGTAAATCCTGTCAGAAAAGAAAAAGCATCTATTTTAAAGAAAATCAATCAATCAGAATAGAGCTGGAAGGGACATTGGAAGTCCAGTTCCCTGCTCAAGCAGGAGACCGTATACTAGGAGTCTTTAAACTTGATCGCTTTAAGACTTGTGGACTTCAACTCCCAGAATTCCTCCTCCAATGTTAGCTCAGGAATTCTGGGAGTTGAAGTCCACAAGTCTTAAACTTGCCAAGTTTGAAGACCCTTGCCGTATACCATTCCAAATTCCTGCTACCATTCTTCATGATTTAGTCTCCAGGCCTTTAATTGTCTTAGTTGCTCTTCTTTGCACTTTTTCCAAAGCCTCAACATCTTTTTTGTAACGTGGTTACCAAAACTGGATGCAGTATTCCAGGTGTGGCCTTACTAAGGTTTTATAAAATGGTACTAATGCTTCATGTGATTTTCATTCTATTCCTCTGTTTATACAACCAAGGATTGTATTAGCTTTTTTGGCGGCTGCTGCACACTGCTGACTCAGGTTTAAGTGATTGTCAACTAGGACTTCAAGGTCGTTCTCACAGTTACTGTTTTTGAGCTAGATTTCGCCTAATCTGTACTTATATCTTTGGTTTTTCCTGCGCAGATTTTTTTCTCCACATTAAATTTCATTTTGTTGGATAGGGCCCATTGTTGAAGTCTGTCAATATCTTTTTTGGATCCTGAGCTTGTCTTCTGGGGTATTGGCTATTCTTGCCAACTTAATTCATCTGCAAATTTGATGAGTTCCCCTTCTATTTCCTCATCTAAGTCATTTATGTAAGGTATATGTAATACACTTGTATTAGTGTACTAGTTCAGGGAGAGGGGGTGTTGGTCACATATTGTAGCATGAATGCACAGACAGCTGGAACTTGATCCAACTTTATGGTTGTGGAAATACGTTAGAATTATTTTTTTTAAACTGCAGACACATCTCAACATGAATCTTTAGCCTAGATTTATCTGTATTATTTGCATTTACATAAACAAAAGGTTTCACAAAACTCTTGCAGAAATATTTGGATTAGAAAGCAGAAATACTTCATAGTTTTAAACTTGGAATATTTTTGGGCATATATTTTGATGGGCATTAATAGTGTTGGTTATAGTTCACATACATTCACATACTATTATGCAGGCAACCAGCACATTGGTTTTTCTGGTAATTTGTGTCCAATGTTTTATATATTTATAGAATAATTTACAGTTCTACATCTGAACAAAATATGCTTATGTTTCCTGCCATATTTATCTGAAATGTTCTTAAAATGTTTAAAATTGGATATGTTATACTTTTAAAATAATTCATCTTGATTGTAGTAGCATCTGTTGGTAAGAACAGAAAACTCCCACAGCTACCATTGAGTTCAGAAGAAGTGTTCCCATATTAATTAAAATATAATACCTAGGAATACTTTTCAATGCACTTAGAGAAAAATTACTGCTCTGATGTGAATACAAGAGCCAGTAAAACATATGTCCTTAGCCATATGTACCATCAAAATCAATAACTTATCAATAATGAGCAAAAATAATCCAAAACCAATTATCTATTCTGAGCAGATACAGTGTAGATAACTAAAGCCCACAACACACAGCAGTATTAGTCAAAAGTTACTGTAATGTAAAGCACACTGTTTTACATTATTTCTATCAGTATTTTTGGTCCAGTTTATATGTTTGACTAGAGTGGTAAAATAGTGATAATCAAAGTTTGTTTTCTTAAAAAAGGAACAATTAAGTTAACAATAAAATTATTAACAAATCCCACTTCAGATATTTATTTCTTCACTGTAAGTTACATTACTACTAATTACCTACTGGATCAAATAAAACAATGCTCATACAGTGTTCACATAAATTAATAGTTAAACACCAAATATTTGATGTTTATCTTGATACAACTATAATGTAACTTTATTGGGTAATTTATCTTTCTATTTCAGAGATGGACAACCTGAGATTTCAGAGCCAAGTGAGACTGGATTCTAGAGACCTCTAAATATTGTTATCCCAAATGGAGAATAATTACACTTAGATTAAATGGATAATTTGGTCAACACTATCAAAAGCCAGTGAGAGATCAAGGAGTGTTAAGATAGATACACCACTGCTATGCTTCCTCTGCCCAAGGTCATTAGCAGGATGATCAAGGCTGTCTCTATATTGTACCCTGGCCTGAAACAGACTGAAATAGATCCAGATAATTTTGAAGTTTATATGGCTGCAAACTGAAACAATATGAGTCTGGTGTATAACATAAAAACATAATAATTATATAATAATGACAACAACAAAAACAAACCAATATACAAATGCAAAACTAAAATGTAAAATGGCAACCAAGTACAAACAAACCTCAAAGAGATCTGTCAGACTGGCTACAGCCTGGTCCCTCGGAAAGAACAACCCTGGTTATTGAGTCCATCTTGGAAGCAATTGGCCAGCTGGCATGCCAGTTCGCAGAACTTTTGGTTGTAAGCTGCCACTCCTCTGCCACCTCAGGCTGCTTCAGTAGCTAGGTCTGCTTTGTACTCCTGCATATAATTCCACATCTGGGTGAGGAAAACCCCCAGTTGCTTTGGGTCTCCACCGTACTTCAAACCAGGGCTGGGGACTTTGGCAACCCTTGCCTTGGGAAGATGCCTCCTCCCTGTGGAAGGGGCTGCACCACTTGAGCAGCAGGTGGCAGGACTGCGTGACTTGGGACGGGCCCAGGTGAAATTGGCAACCTCCCCTGCCGCAGCTGTCTGCATCGCAGTGCCATCTCCCACTGGTTCCAGCACGGTTTGAAGTCCAACCAACTGGGTGGACAGTCTTTGGCTTGGCGGTTTCCGAACAAGTCTCTCAGTAGTCTTTGGGCTTGTTCCTTCAGATTCTCCTGCTCATCTGGCTCCCCTTGGGTTTCTTTCTTGCCCCAATCACCACACCACTCCCATCTCCTGGCTCCGCAGCTTCCCCTTGTATATGTTACACCAAAGGCTTTCTCCTCTACCTCTTTATCTTTCATCCCCAGAGTAAGCAACCACTGGGGTTTGGGGCCTCTTCACTGATACTTGCATCCCCCAGCCATTTGAGTTCCTCTTTGGGGCAATATGATTTGACAGCTCCCCCCATGAGTTCCGACTTCGTCCAAGTCGCTTTCATGATTTATAATTTTTTGCTCAGTCTCCTCGGCAGACATTAGTCTCCTGGTTGACTGTTTTAGCAGAGCTTTCCTACTGTCAGGCTGGCCATAGCCTGCTCCCCAGGAAAGAACAATCCTTGACTCTATAGTTGTTAAAGAGAAGGTACTTTTACTAGAGATGCTGAGTGTAACATGAGCAAGGCAAGCTCTGGAGAAACCCATGTGAAAATCATATATTGAAAGCAAGTCCCTGTCAGCGTTCCAACCAAACTCTCCATCTCAATTCAGCTCTCAGAGACAAAGTCCATCCAAGTAAGGTTTTATTAGAGAAGTCATATTAGCACATCTGGGAAAACCCAAATCTGAAATCCCGCATTTTCCCCTGCTAAATTAAACTCACATCCAACCCCCTTACTGATGACCCTCAAGTCACACTCTCCAATTCATCTCCATTCTGAACTCCTGCCAAGTCCA